TCAATATCATACTTTTCTGCAAAATTCAAGATATTGAAGTACATCGTTTTAAATGATTTCTCATTTCGATCATATTCAAGTTGTTCAATTACTGATGTAATCAACTGTTGACTTTCAGCATAATCAACCGATTCACCTAAATGATAAAAGAACGTGTCATGTTAAGTAAAGAAAAGGATGTTCTTTTGTACGAGTGCATTGATTTTTAACTACCTTTTAACTGATCCGACAAAATTTTGATTGATCCAAATAATTTATTTAATATGAACATAATAACAATAAAAACTGGCTCTTGTATAGCCGATAATATACCTCTTGCATCAACAGAACGATGATCATCTTCGTCAATAAGATCTTCAAGTGCAACAATAATTGATTCATAATTGACCATAATAGCATTAATTGAACTCCATCGTGAGTCCCACCGAATATCTGACCATCCCTTGAGTTTTGAAGAAGCATCTACAAAATAAAAAATAGTAGTATGTGATAATTCTTCGATAAACGCACATACTCAACGCTAACTTTTGTTGAGCTATCTGATAATGTTCATTCATTACCGACGAAGAGGTGAAATAAGAATGAATTTTTGATATAATTTGATAAAATTCGTTAATATATTGTACAATCTTACTAACATCGACGATTACTAGGTTAAGTCTGTGTGCATGGCAATGTATATAAATACCGTTAGGCATATGGTTTTGACGAAGAATCGTTTGCACACCAGCGAATTTACCGGCCATTACTGATGCCCTGAAGTAAATTAATAAACTCAGCAATGATGTTTCAAATAATTATCTATCACAATAAATTCTTACCCATCATAACACTGTGAAATACATGATTCCAATTTAATGCCATATTTTATTAAACAATTCGCAATTTCATTAGATAATGTCTGAGCATCGAATTCATGTAATCGAATCAAACCAAGAAAGTATTCTTGAATAATATCTTTATCATCATCTGTATGCACTACTATTCGTACGACTATTGACAGCTGTTCGTGGCACCACTATCATGACTTTCATCGGCCAACAAAGCGAACATATTTCCTCTAATCTACGAGAGGAAACGATGATTAACTACAAATTGATCCGTTAAGTAAAAAAGTGCTACCTTTTCTGTTATTTGTTGTTTAACTTGATCAACCATAATTTTGATTAATTCGTTTTGAATCCCTCCTGAAAGATATTCCACCGAACATTGATCCGTTAGTGAAGGAGAAACTGTTGGAACGAAAAGAAAGAGCCGATTCCATCATCATTCACTATACTTATGAGCAGCGTTTTGCTGATTACGGTCGAAAAATTCATCAGCGATGGGACAATGCATTTCAAGGTACACCGTTGGAGCAAAAGAGAGTGATCGTCGGCACTCGAAATAATCCGAATCTATCGAAAGAATCGATCCGTCGAGATCCTTTCAAGAAACAAAAAGATATTCGTGATGAATCAGCTTGCGATTGAATACAACAGTGAGAAAATACTCTACATAATTTTAGCTTGAACGATTTCTTCTTTTCCTTTTTCAGTCATGAAGACTTCATGTGATCTATCCTCTCTATATCTCCTTCATCATCTTCGTCATTCTTTTCATCCACTTCTCTTTCACATTGCTATTGTTCCGTCTGTTCCCGTCACAATTCCAAGACATTCCATTCTTACCTGACAATATTTGTTCAATACTAATCAGTTCCTCAACACTTCGCCCTGTCAATTACGCCTTTCCAAATCAATCTTCGTCTCGTCAATTTTTCTATTCAACTTTCGCGCTAAAATAAAGCTTCTCTTCTCCGAATCGTTCCATCGATTCCACGGGTAAACATGAAGCGCACTATCTTCATTCATGATCAAACTGGTCTTCACTGCTCTCTTCTTAGAGAAACTATAAGTCACACTCAGAGTATCCCATCACCACCTATGACTTGCACTCAATGCAGCTACTATACCACCGAACAACCCAAATGAAAACCACCAGGAAAACGATTTCCAATTCCATCAAAACTGTATCTTCATTCCACTCATTTTTCTTCTGCCACCTCAATCTCAGATCATCCCCAATATAGTTCGATCATAGTCTGAATATCTATCGTGTCCCATCGTCACCAAATCACACAAACTAGTCTTGACGAGCTTTACTCACTCCAGTTCAACGATATCCTTTGTCTTCAATACGAAGGCTTTGTTCCTTTGTTTGAATTTCTGATGGATTATTTCAATTCGTTTTTGATTTTCGTAATCGAGAACAACTGGAGGAGTACAAGTCAACTGAGGCGACCCTTTAGCAAGGTCGAAACTAGTCTTGACGAGCTTTACTCACCCCCACCCGCATCACCCTCACCCTCAAGTAATAAAGTATTATTCATCCACTCCACCTCATATACATTTTATTCAAATAGAGATATAAGTGTATGTGCATACTTAGATTTCAATCTCTAATACAGATATGAAAAAGAAGAGGGAAAAGGGTGAGAAAAAAGACAGAAGAACGTCTACATGAAAAACATTCTTTCTCTGAGTTTACTTATATTTACACTATTATTTTCATTCTTTTTCAAAGATAATTTTCGATCAGCGATAAAAGTACGTTATTCACATTGTTTATTGATCCACTGTTACTCTGTTTACATCTATATAGACGCGTAGAATTGATAAAGATTAATGCTAATTTTCTCAATCTCTCATAGTAGAAATCCATACTTCAACTGATTAGATTCATACATACTAATCTATACAAAAGCTAAACTTTTTATTTTGAACAAGCCAAAGATTCTTTTCTTGTAATTGACTCTAGGAGAATTGAGTAACAAGATACATGTTCATTGGGAGTCGATGGAAGATAAATATTGATATACCATTGAAAATGTGTGAGAAATCCTCTCCTAAATACTATGCAGAACGTAAGAAAAAGGGTTCTCTTCACAATTTTTGTTTTTTTCCCACCCATCTATGCAGAAAACACGTTAGATCGCAAAAACTATTTCTTTTTTTTCTTCTGGTCTATAACTAGAGGCATCTGTCTTTTTTCATCGAAATTACCGTCTTTGTAATTTGTTGTCATTGATTTTTGAGTATTCGGAAAAACTTTTCTCGAGTCCTGCACAGGTACGATTTCTTACACCCGGACCCGTGTCCGGATATGAGTCAGTTTCGGGTATCTGACAGGCCTACAGGATTTTATTGAGCGTCGGGTTGCTTCTCATAGCTGGCTTGGCTGAATGTATGAGTAACTTTTGTCAGGCTGTTTTGGAAGTGGAAATGAAAAGCTTTTCTCCAACTACAGTTTTAGTGAGAGTCATTTACCTGTATTTAAAACGCTTTTCAAAGCCGTGAAAACACTCTGTGCATGGAGATATGTCGCTCATCAGTGTAACACGCACTGAAGGCTATTCATCCGTATAATCTGACAACTCTAAAATCAGAAACTCTACCGAGATATCGTTTTAGGAGAGAATAACAATGTTGAAAACATTTTCATTTGTTTTGTTTCATATAGTTGTTTATTAACTATATTATTTTTCCTGAATGTTACAAACTATGTGACATCAGCAACACTAGTTTCGTCTGATAAAACAACAAAAGCAGATATTGCAAGTCCAGTGATCTATCAAGTGAGAGATGGATTTTATTCTCTGAGTAATTCTTCGATAAATCGTGCAACATCTGAACATTTCCAAATTATTTGGGGGAATAAGGATACAACTGGAAGTGTAAATCTGGAGTTTATTCAAGGAAATTTAGCAAATCTAGAAAGTATTCGTTTATTTTATATTGAAAAAATTGGTTTAGGAGATATCGGACGTACTCAAGATCCAGCCATAACTGGAACTTATAAGACGAATATTTACATTGCACTGACTGGACTTGATCCGAGTTTTGATGATTGGGCCTATATGGGAGTAGATAAGGATTCGTTTGGCTTTATAATGATGATGCCAGGCGCAATGCGTGTAGATCCACCAAGTTGGGTTGTACCTCATGAACTTGCACATGCATTTATTTTTCATAATGGTGGAGTTGTTCCCTATGCTTGGAATGAAGCCCTATCAAATTTCTTGCGCAATGAATATTTGTATAGTGATTATTATAGTTATGGTGGAACAATCTATGGTCCAACCTCTGACTTCTTTGCACCTTATATACTAAATTCTGAAGTACATTTTCCAAGTGCGAAGAATTGGTATGATTCATGGCCGATTTTTTTATACATTTACGAAAATCCCGACTACATCATCGGACTTGGTAAGCAGGCATTGTTAAAGATAATGACCTACCGAAAAGAAGAAACAACTTATTTCAAAGCCATTACAGCTGTAACGCACGTTTCTATCAAAGAGATATTAGGTGGAATGGCAAGAAGAATGGTAACCATGGATTTTAAGGCACAAAAATACTATTTACAACATTTGGATGAACTTTTGAAAATCATTGGAAATCGGGAAAAGATTTATACCACATTAAAAAATGAAAATGATGGTTGGATGGTTGTTCCTGCAAACAAGGCTCCACAACAAGCAGGATACAATATTATTCCTTTAACTATACCTTTAAATACAGCTTCTATTACTGTTAACTTCCAAGGAACGAGTACAGATAAGAATGCTGATTGGAGAGTCAGTATTGTTACTGTAACGAAAAGTGGTCCTACTAGATATTCTTCGATGTGGAACAAAGGCAATCTAACCATCTCCTATTCCAGAGGAAGGACACTGATCTCTTCATAATAGTGATTGAACCAGAATTCTTTTCTCATTAACATCTATATCTCTTTTATTTTATTTCTGTTTACAGGTAACAATACAATAAACTTGCATGGTGATGAAAAAGGCGTATATTTAGTTGTTGTTGCAACTCCTGATTTTATTCCATTTATTGACATCGACAAAGATGGAATTACGTATCCATATAAAGTACAAGTGACAACACGTTAGCACGACTATTGCTTCTCGAAAGAATTCGAGATAGTTTAATCGAATGAAAAAACATACATCAATTCGAATAAAGATTATTTCGGAATTTCCCTTGTTTAACAATTGATGTACAGTCATCCTCCCTAATAACGACGGAAAACACTAGACTTTCAGATTTGTATCCGTGTATCGTCAGGTTACAACCCATATCCAAGGCTTTTATTTTTGCAGAACGGAAGAGTCGCTGAGGTAGAGTCATTTGTTATGGGAGCTGTTAGTGCCACAAATGAACTGGAATCACCGAAACGGAAGTAATGCTATCAGTTTTCTGTACGTCTATCTATTTTTTCTGTTTATATAATTAGAAATCTGAAGAACGAAATGATATCCAGAATGATTCGTTATCGAAGGTAAATAGAAAATGACATAATTTATTTTCTCCATACCTACATTTCTTGCATACCTACATGGTTTTGTATCTATGTGCGAAAGAAAAGAATGAAAGGGAGCCCAGGTAGACTCATTAGGGTCGGTCATTATACTGGTGATGTGCTACGCTCTTCTCTTTCACTTCTGCTCATTTTTGGAATACTACAGCAATCATCCTTGGTTACTGACTGGAAACATTTGTCCGAAAAAATGTCATCAAAATAACACAGCCAGGTCTTCTTTAGTTATAAATCATCTATCGAAACCCGGTTCATTCAACGAAAAAGTTGGGCATGTATCGATTTGACAGAAATGTCGGAAATAAAATGTTGAAGAAGTTTATGCCGAATAAAGAATATCGAAAAAAGCTCGAAAAAGTTCGAAACAACCCAGTGCCAAACCTTCATTTACTTTTGTTTACTTTACCAAGAAAACGTGAAGATTTAGTTTTGCTGTGTAAAAATAAAGTGAAAAATTTTCGTTTTGATTTTTACTTAGTAAAAGAAAAACAGGACTTTTACCTTTATTTGGTAAAGTGTAAAATCATATATTTTTCTTTAACTTAGGAAATAAAAGTAAAGTACCACCCCTATTTCGTAACGTTTTCTGATATTTTCTCGACTATATGTCTTTCGAACAAAAAGACACCTGGCGCTCGCAGTTGTCTCATTTTGTGAAGAAAATTGTGTTGAACAGAATGAGAGGTGTCAAAGCACGTCACAGTTCGACAACTCAGCATCATTCAAAATATTGAATGGTGCTCAAACGAGAAAAATGCTATCAGCGATTTAAATACCAGATTTGTGGAGAATTTAAGTGTCTATCGAATGAGACTAAACCGAGCGTTTTAGATCACTCGGAAGTGTTCCAAAAATCGCATCCAAAAACTGGCGGGTGGCTTTTGGACCACCATGTTGACCCATTCATGGACAACGTGTTCAAGAGTTTTGTCTCTGTTGACTGGCCAGTATATAATTGGCATGATGATTAATTAGTTGCCGTGTTCTTATTCGAGTTTTTCTCATAATCATAATTCCAAAATCAAAATTCAGGCTAAATGTAAATCTGCTATCCGGACATAGTTGTAATTGGCTATAATCATCTGTCACATCTGTAGAAAGTACCTTATAACCTTGTCCTTCGACATATTTGTCACTGAATTCACCTGTTGTATAGATGAACTGTTGTATTGTGGGAGTGGCTTTTTTCACATAAATGATAGACTCTTGATTATACTTTTGACCAAGTTTAATCATTGCTGCACGTTCTTCATCCGGTGAAATATTGTGTAGTGTAACGGTCAATAGAAAAAAACATGGTGAAACGATAGCCGAAGCTGTCAATCAGTAATTTAGCAGTGGACAAAAGTTTCCGCTTTAACAGATTATGGACTATGTTAGGACTAGAAGCCGCAAATTTTGGCCCTAGATTCTAACTTACGTCAGCAATGTAGATGTAGAAATATCATGTGAAGAAGTTGCATGTGGCCAGAGTTAGATCCATATGAAATAGAACGGCATGTACTAAGCGGCTTGTCCACGTAACGGTACACTTCGCTGATCAAGTTCTTGAAAAACGTTTTTGCGATATCGAAAGTTTTGAACACATGATTAGATGCAGCTTTTTATTCTAAGAACCCGTTTGAAACTCGTTTTTCAAAAAAGTTCATTTTTCATCCAAAACACCTGGTTTTGAACTTTTCAGAAACCGGACTTTTAATGTTTTAATCAAAAACATTTTTTAATAACTTAGGTGAAACATTTTTTTACCATTAGAAAGCCTGTGAGCTGCTCTACAGGATCGGCTCAATGAGTCTTCCATTTGGGGTGAGGGTGAGGTCAACAATCCCAGTCAATAATCTTGTTGCCTTCTATTTGGGCTATCGAAACAGAGGTGGTGTTTCTGACTTATTATTTGAGAATAGCATATACACACGAATTTTCCGATTCCCACTGCTAGCTCTGCCTGAGATTCACTAGAGCTGAAACATATGTGCACTACTGTATTCAGCATATACAGAATATGTACATGCTCTTTTGCTGATCAAAATAGTTATCTATTTTTGGTAACCTGGTAATCTTTCAAATGTTCTACAAGTGTTCGAGACTGATAGTGCTCATGTAACAACTGGATGCCCAAAGCGAATAAAGCTGTTGGAAAGATAATCCAAGCAATTCTACTTTCTACAGCCCTATTAATACCTTTGTCGATTTGTCGATTCTTCTGTTGTCGTTCTTTGCCATATAAGTCACCGAGAACTATTACGCCAATGAGAAGAAGAATGAAAATAATCATTCCCGCTATGGCACTCTTGCGGTCGATCCCCATCAATTTATCACTTCTGGAGAAGATCTAAAAATTGTACAATTTTCAACTTTGTATTCTAAACCACGAAAACAAGACCGGTATTTAATTATGTGACTCTTATACAAAAAGCTTGTCAGCGTTGTTTCTACGAAGCAAACATGTGAAAACTTCCTATTGACTTGTTGGACTATAAGATAGAAGATGTATTAACAGAAGGAAATTGAATAAGAAAAGTAGTGCGCAAGAGAAGTTTCTAATTAGGGGCCTCCCTCAGAAATGGCAATTTTCGGACAAAAAATCGATTTCGGGATTCGCACATGGAAAGATAGCCTGAAGTGTCTACTTTCAGAATCGGTATCGCTTTTGATTACAAAAGTGGTCAAAATAAGACCTCGCACAACTTTGTATGACCTTGCATCAAAAAGATAGTTTCATTTTCCTAGAAGTCCTAAAAATGAGTATTTCATACAGCGTTTCATACAGCGCTTTCTCTATATAAGAGTTACAACTGAAGTATGTCCCAAGCTTTTTTATAGCGGTTTGTCGTAGAGAGTTTATTCTTTTTTTGTTTAAAAGAGGAAAAGAAACTGTTTGGGCTGACCGGCGCCGACCTTTGAATTAGGTTTTAGTTTTTTGCCAGATTGAGGATTTTTAGAAAACCCGGAAGGATTTTTCAGGTTTTGGAGGTTGTTGCTTGCCTGGAAAACTAGCAAACGCTTAATTGAAAAATCGGTGCCTGTCAGTCCATCTAGTTGGGTGTCCAGTTTAAAATAAAAGAAACCCGAACTCGCCAGCTTAAAGTATATTAAAAAATCTTGGGACACACTTCCGGATCCTTTTTGGACCTTGATCTCTGATTCCTGTAAGTTTGAAAGGAAACTTGCTGGCATTTTTAGTCAAGCGAGAAGATGTAAAGAGGGCAATTACTGTGATGGACACAAACGTTTTTTGGTTCTTTCAGTCTCTAATTGATGAAACACAACCATAAATGCTTCTGATTAATATCCCAGACATATACTCTGAGGAGTGCTGCCCTACATCAATACATTCTTAGTGTTTATTTCGCATTTACATTGATGATGATTTTTTACCATATTATGGTAAAAACTGGTATTGTTGTATATCCTTGGCACAAGTGGCAGTCTGGCACCGCTGGATCGTCGGACCAGGAGCATAGAAAATTCCCCCTGCCAAGGATGTAGCCAAGGGGGGTGTCAAGGTTACCATAACAAACGCCACACTGGTAGGGACGTGTCCAAGGGCGTATAGCTACGCTCCTGCATCGAATCAATCATTTGACATTTGGATAGCCTTTGAAATTAATATTAAATTGTCAACACTGCCTAAATAAATCAAAACAAACTTGTAACTACACATGTAAAATACATTTACACATTATTGTATACCTCAAGTTCTGTCGTCGTGTTGTTATAACTGGATCAAACGTTAAAAAGTATATTTTTCTTTCATAAAAATTTAGAATGAGTTTCTGATATTATTACCTCTCTGGCTATAGCTGCATCATGTTTTACTCGGACCTTTCTTCGAGAACATGATGCACTCACTTTTTGAAATTTACATCGATCCTACGATGCCTTCGGTACGTCACAATTTCTGTTAAAATGGTAAAAGACATTTTAGCTGAAGTACTTATACCGGTTCAAAGTGAATGCACAGCAATTTTGAAGGTCTAGTCCCTCGTTTAAATCCTTGTGGTGTATTTCTGTTGCGATCGTGAACTATTTTTACCACCGGCGAGACGACGCTCGTGCCCATGGCTTTACTCTATTTCTAGAAAGTTAATAGTGAACTGTGATAACTTTAGTGAAAGAAACTTTCATCTCAGATGAAGTTTTCTGTCCCTTATTATTCAAAGTCTGGTATCAAAATAAAGGTGAGAGAGGCTGATGTCTTATGATTCGAACGTGAGCCTTACCAATAAGGTAACGTTTGCTGTATGTGAAGAAAACATTCACGCTTGGACCTTCAGAGAATGCGTATCCCTGAATACTAGACGCTGATATCCGTTCGTTGCTAGAGCCAATCTAGCATCCTGTAAATGAGGCGGCATGGCTTAGCTCCAATCCTCTCTGCGTCAAACAGGACCGAACTGATACTCGCTACATCCTGAAAGTCACCAACGACAAAGCGATCTTACACCGAAGATACTCTCGATTGCAATGACATCAACCTTTAATGCTTTTCTCACTTTAGTGCAATTTTATTCTGAGACCTTGCGAAGTTAACATATTTAACAAAGTTATACATAGTGGAAGTCCCTAGAT